GGGATTATATAACTATTATTGAGTGAATTAATTTTAACAGACGAATAAATTTACTTTTTAATATTATAAAGAGGAGAGTTTTGATTGTTTATTTGTTTTCATTGAGTAGATTCCGAAACTAGTGGACAGATTTCAAAAAATATTTTACTATGAGAATCTACATCAATCTTTGATGAATTGATGAATATCACAAAAGAAAATTTTCAAAAATGTTAGGAATCGGCAGTGGCAAGGCAGCTAGTATTAAATTAAATGTTACTAGATAATAATAAAGTTCAATGATATTTATTAGTAATATTTTTTATACATATCATTTTTAACAAATAGAATTGATCGATATTTTATGTCTTATGGAACTTTTGCTTGGCAGTTTATTTTGGCGCTACTGGTTCCGTGCAATATGCCATTGTCAGTTTCTGTCTTATTGACAGACAAAATGTAAGACACGAGAAAGTAAGCAAAGTAATTATTTGCTGTACTAGGCGAACTTTTTAAAATAGTAACAATAATACAACCTCTTAGATTCTCCCAAAAAACAACTGCATCGTCTTGTGTTCCCAGTACAAAATTCAATTAACCTCTTTACTATACACGTCTTACAAAAAAACGCTGTCTTATAATTGTTTCCACAAAAAACTCGGTCCAATTTAATAGTGCGAAATTACCTAGTTGTTATTGAATCAGCTCGAAAGTCGTGTAAAGTCCACCATTCAAGGCGTACAAGCTAAGCAATTCAAGTTTATGGCTACTATAATGTAACCAGAAAAATATAACGTAATAATAAACTATTGCCCAAATTTTGCTCAATGGAACCGGACTGTAGTAGTGCGACCGGTATTTTTGATCGTTTGATGTTACCGAAAATGTGGTTTCGGTTTTTAGACTGCATAATGCTGGCAAGATCAATTTATGATCCGTTAGTTAGGGCTATGCAATTTTGTATAAAAATGTTGTCACTGAAACCAAAAAGATATATTGTGACTCGCCATAGGTAGCCTGATAGCCTAGACTAAAAGAGCCACTATAATTCTAAAAAATATATGAAGTTCAATATGCTTTCAGATATGTTTCAGAGATGTTTTTATATATTCGGGGCTGATTATTTATCGTCCCTCGTATAGTCTGTTTACAGTATCCGAAAATATCAGAGTTAATTTTATTGGTGTCTGTTTAATTTGCAGTGCCTGAATAAAGTATATACAACCGCAAAGATTTTCGTTTTATTGAGCTCTTTTGCTCTTCTATTTGTTTTTGCTAATGGTCTAGTACATATTAAAGATTTGACATGGTTCGAACTCCGCTGATTGTACCAGTATTTTTTAAATCACTTTACACGCCGTCCTTTTGGGAAAAAAGAGCAAGCTTCGTGGCCTGATTTTGATACAGATAGATCCAAGCTTTGTTATTTAATAATTAAATGAAACAACGGTTTCATTGTGTTTATATTTAGTTTTATTGTCGTTTCAGACCCTTCACAGATAAGACTAAGGTGTTGATTGCCTTTTTAATTAAGAGTATTGCTACCTTGAAAACGATACTATTGGACACATTCAAAATACCATTTTATGGCAACGTTTTATTAAATCACATTATTTAAAAAAATGATTGGACTTATTTATTTATCCCTGGCTACCAGTTCCAAATCTTGAAGTCTTGTCTGAAAAGAACTGGCGAAACAAACTCCGACAAGAAAAGTGATTGAAGTAACTGTATCTTTTGGTTTTGCAATGTGTGATCTGGATGGAGATTTTATTTCACTGGGCTAGGATAAAATATAAATAAATATAGATAGTGCGTGTGAAAATATTTAATTATTAGTTTTAATGAAATTGGTGCTTGTGTAAATTCAACATGATTATAAATTCATTTGGCTACTAGTGACTTACATATTAATATCATATACTAACTCTATAAAAATATACGTCTTACAATAAAAAGTATTAGACTCTCAAATCATTTTTAAAATACACTCATACAAAAATCATTCCATTCCATACGTTAATTTATTATATCGTTGTTGTAAGAGAAGCCGTTTAACTAACCTTACAATACAGTGACTTCTAAGTATAAACAAAGATGATATATACCAAATATTAAATTTTAATGAATACTTTAAGTAATTCAATTGGAAGTTTTGTGCAAACAAGTGACTTATTAAAACAATGAGTCTGGTTTTCTGTGAAAATGTCAAATTACGAAGGTGAACTTGATGTTACGATATGGTTTACGGTAATATTGCCTCGTTTAAATTGTCAACTCGGACAAGATTTAGATCTCTATTCGACGTTTTTGTCGTGCAATTTGAGAGATTTTTTGCTCTTTTTTTTCTTTATTTCAAATTAAAATGGTACTGTTATATTTTAAAGACTCATATTATAATATCTGTTGATCAATGTATGTTGATCCACAGATATTATAATAAAGTTCGACAAAAAATTCTTAAAACTTTTAAGATGGCGCGTACAGAAAAGATTATGTGTCAGTTTATGTTGTGAAAAGAAATAAAGTCCAATTTAACTGTAAATATATTAAAGGACACTACATCATACTGCTAATATAAATAAATAAGAAAATTATTCCCTAAATTCTCATTTTTTTCGATTTCTTCTCGTTATTATGCTGTTATATAGGGAAATTGATAAATATGTAAGTCACGCTAAAACCGAGAACTATATGTAACTTAATTAACAAAATATTAATATTTTTTACGTCCAATCCCTTATCCCTATCCCTACGTAGTGAATACATTGCCGGGTGTAACTAAATAGGAAGAGAGTCTTTTGTCTTTACTCCTAGCATTAAGGTGGTACTCATATTACGTATCTCTTTTTTTAATTATTTAACTATCAATTACAATATATTTGCAAAGATAATTTTTTTATATAAAATATATGAAAATACTTAATATATATACTATAAAAATAACTTATGCCATAATAGTTGGTAAATAAAACAAAGGTAATAATATTCAAGAACTCGGCATCATGCAGCGTCTATCAACTTTATAAAGCCTCGAATTTTTAAGTTCTTTGGCCTTGTCTCCAGTCACAACCATAGTGGTCCAGCGAAGTGCGAAGGAACCAGACCACGTGGCATATCATCCATGCGATGACAGCCAGTAGTTCAAGATGGCGAGAAATTGTGAGAAGGAATTACATCGGTCACCAATATGATGCTGCCTCATGATGGCCACTATTGCTCTGTAAAGAGCGACACGACCGAAAAGAAGACTACACAGGAGGTGATGTACAAAAGATATATTTGCAGTGTAAATTTAAGTCGCATATACACTTTAAAGAGAAACCTTACTAATTTAAATTAAAATATTTTTTTAATCAAATATCAATGTCACGACAGAAATCGTAACTGTAAATAGTTATCATATAAAACTATGATTATAATCGCCTCTTAAATTATATGGGACATAAAATATTTTTCTCCTTGTTTTTCCTCGTCTATTTGCATTACTTTTTATTATTTTTTTCCTTCCCTATTTTGACATTTCCGTCGAGACCCCGATAAATTCTAATATTACGTCAAAAGTCATGTACCGATGTCAATACTTATTTGACTTCTGAAAATCTAAGAACTTAACATTCTACCCCCAGTGGCGAACACAAATTATATTTAACTATCACAATTGTACCAACAAGATTTATGTGTCATGGCGCAAGCACCACGCTGTACAAGCCGGCTGTCATGACATGATAAAAATCTTTATTTCAGTTCATAACTTGTTCCATCCACGCTTCAAATAATAGCTGTTTAACATTACAACAAGTACTCGCAACTGTTTATAAGCGAAAACAATAGATTAATGATACTGCCGTGTGATTTTAAGACCGTTGCAATGTGTCGCCATCTGTGAGTTGGGACCGCAGTCGGATCGGATCAAACATAAAAGCAAATGGTCTTCATTATGGATGACGGGTATGGGTATTTTTTGTCGCCACATGGACTTTACCTACTTCATTTGGGATCTGAGCAATATATATATGAATGCAAAAGGTCACTCACTCACCCATCATGAAATCTCACAAACTACAAGTGCTAGGAGTTTCAAATTTTCATTGCGGGTTCTTTTTAGGACGTAGGTGCTCATTAATACGGGATTTCACGAAATTCGTCACGTCACGTCATTTCTGGACTTAAAACTAGATTATGCAGGCTGGATCTGGTCTGTTTGAGATGTTTTCCAGCGACTTCACTCGAAAAATTACAGCCTTTGTCAACCGCGTGTGTTGAGGCTTCCCGTGGATAAAAGAGTTTTAAAATTTGACCAAGCAGTTTTGGAGCCTAATTGATACAAACAATATTTCGATAAAAAAGTTAGTGTTTCAAAAAATTTCATAACGTATCGTTCAATTTTCATAAGAAAATGAGGATAAAATGACTCGTTATAAACTAGATCTCTACAATTATACGTTTTTTTTCTGTTAATAAAACAAGTTAATGTGATTTGGTAAACCGAATGTTTATGTTTTTTTTTTGTTTTATGTAACCTGTCTTAGAATACTTGTTAGAAACCAGTACCTACTACAATACCTTGAAGATAAAGATCAGAACTATTTTTCGTTACTTATAAAATTCTGTTGTTTTAATATGTTGATTGTGTTTTTTGATACATCAGAAAATATATAATTGTAACTTTTGTATAAAAATTTACGACGTAATTCTTATCATTAAAAAAAACACAAATGTACAACATCAAAATGCTATTATCAAATAATCTATAAGCACATTTTAAGAAAAGCACAGAAACAAATAAAATGCAAAATATTAAATGCAACAAAAATATAAAATTGAAAATTCCTTGACAACTTTAACGAATTAATTATATTGTGGCTCTGACACATTTTTTTAAAACTTTTAACGAACAAGTACAATTCTTATGGGTGTGTTTATTTTTCTATTTTTGTTTCGGAATGTTGCCAAGTTATTGTCATAAAGAGAACTAATAACTAAATATGAAAAAATATAATAAAAAAAATGAAACGTGCCCAGGTTCGAGATGCGATTGGTTGGATGCTTGTTGCTGCCGACAGATATCCGGGCTTGTCTGTACGAACCAGGAATGGGTGAAGGCCGGATTAAGGCCAGGATTCAGTCCGGCCCCGGGCCCCGGGAGGCCCATCACGCCGGGCAGGCCTCCAGGCCTCTGATGGTGATGGAAACCTGCGGAGGCCACCGCGTAGTCCATAGCTACAGCCTGATACGGCAACATCGTCACAATTCACACACGTTACTTGTCCAAATCCGCTCTTAGTCTATTCATTTTCGTATTAAATTATTAAAACAGTTTGATTGGGCATAAAAAATGTTCCATTTTTAAAAACAGTCACTCTATACACTGATGATGGTTTTAATGTTTTGTTTTCACTGTTTACCTATATTTGGTTTGTCCCATAATGTCCATACAGTTCGCTGTCACTCAATTCTTCAGGGCGATTCACTTGTCACAGACGTCTCTAGCGTTTCAATTGGAGACGTTTTCAGTTATCAAACAAACGCCCGTTCTATTTTCGTGGGTGATCGTTTACGGGGTTAGCTATTCACAGGGGAAAAGTCACGCACAACCACCCACTTAATAAATATTCTGGGCATATATCCGTTTTTACGTGGACGTGACTGGCGGGATACTGTCCGCTTTTCACGTACGGAACGCGCGGCCGATTATCGAAAACAGTTGCATGCGTCCCCCTCTTCCGACCTCGGACGTGCAACTGAAATCAGGCACGCGCGCCAAACGCGACTCTATCACACTCGAGCCTAGACACCCCGTACACGATCCGCTCGGGAAATTAGAGAGGGACACCCGGCTATAACGGAGCGAGACGCGCGACCTTCGGTCGAAGTCGCGGAGTTAAAAGCCTGCGTCGTTACACGGCCGTAATAGGCGGTTACGTGATTGGGCGTGGCTTGGCCTATTAAGTTGAATTGTCGCACTCTGATTGGTTGAAATTGGTAGTAGTCGTCTACGTGATATGTTCAGGAATACGTTTATAGCTCGCTCTCATAGAATATAATAAGTGAGTTGTAGGTTGGATGCGCGCCAGTTGTGTAGATGCACCGTGTTGCGGTTTCGATGCCGATTCGCATAATAGTTTTTTTTTTTTTAATTATTACTTTATGGACCGTCAATAGATACTTCACCTGTAACTGGATATTTAAACGGAGGCGAACGGTGAATGATTTTACACACTTGGGCGGGGCCATACGCTATATTGATTGGCAGGTTGTATACCGCGTCAGTACAAGTTACGGCAAAACAGATACTTGTGGGAAAATAGTAAAGCGTAGCAGACACGAAGTCTAGACGAACTCAAGAACTTTCACTCGCCTACCTGCCTCGACCGATGTACGTTTTCTAAACACCCCCTAATAAAATACCTACCTCACTGTACCTATCATCAGATCTACCGTAAACATCGATTTCACTAAATAAATCTTATATATTCTATAATAAATATTATATTATCAAATATATTCTAACACTTAATCAATGATAAATACATTACTTTCTAATAAGTAGGTTATCTAATTTTGTAACAAATCTATTTCAAATATAATAAAACTAACCAATGATAGATGCAAGTTCTAAAGTAGTAAGATCTGCAACATTAATAAGTAAACATAAACGGTTTTCATTTCCGAAAAATAAAACGTATGAAAAATAAACAAAAGTATTGAAAATGTTTTCACGCTTTGGCATTAGGTACTAATTCATGGTTTGTCTATTTATTTTTTTACTACCAAATCTTTTTGAATTGATTTCTTAGCGACACTGACTGTGTTCAGACTATAAGAATTATAAATGAAAGTTTGAATATGATAAAAGAAAATTCTCGAAAAGAACCGGGAGCATTCAGAATCTATCGGCGTAGTATTGGAATCACATTTTCCTGGTTCGATACGAGTTCAAGTTCGTCACGTCTGGGCAGTTAGTATGCGACCCTGCGTGCGCCTGATATAATGGAACAGCTCAGCTGATTTCTGTTTAGCCAGAGCACGCTGGACTATCACTTGTCTACTCATACTTAAGTATATATTTTCCAGCATCGAACTTAAGTAACTATACCGAATTTCTGCAACTTTCAAAAATACCACACCATCCTTCGAAATTGCTGCTTTCGAATTTAAAGAGTTTTACAACTTACATTTGCTACACAATGCGACCTATTTAGGTTAGAAAGATTTATCTTTTTTTTATATTGCTTGTAATTTTAGTCTTTACAGTATTTTTATGTTTAAGGTGTTGCTATATATAGCAAATTGAATAAAATATGGAATTACATATTATTTCAAAATTTTATAAGAGTGTTGACTGTTCGCAGTGATTAGCGCGTTCGACTACCTTAAGCAACGTTCGATGATGGACGGATGGGTGACCAAAAAGAACAATGGCGAACTCCCATAGGTATAGCTTTGGACCTGAATTTTTAAAGTCCCGTTCATGAATGAAATAAACGTGTACTTAAAGGTATAAGCTAAACTAACAAAATCCTAATCGTCTTTTTCCTTTAAAAGTTGGGATTAAAAAGATATGGCATAAAATACTTTGTAGGGTTATATATTGCATCTTTGCTTTTTCGTTGAATGGACGTTAAAATGAATAAAAATGGTAACCAGGTTACTCCGTTTAATAAACTAGATTAAAATAATTACATATCTAACAAGATCCAGACACTTATAATAGAAGAAACATTTATAACATATGACTAAACTCTGTGGAGTAGATCCCTTTGCCTTTAATTTAATCATTAAATCATTGAATGCACATTGAACTGTCATTGTTATAACCGAATCGATTGCCATTCGGAATCCAAAAGTAATGCAAATATCAACGTTAGTCGAAGAAACATGCTTAATTGTAATTGTTGAATATTAACATAAATATCAAACTCCACGAACGAACACACAACAAACGAACCAAACCAATCAAAAAAATATTTATGAAAGTGTTCAAAGACCGTATTTCATATAATATATTATATATAGATTTTATATTGAATATTATTTGACGTTCATTCGCTCAGTCGGTACACGTCATTACATCACATATCTCACTTATTATTAGCAGTAAACGGCGACAGATAATATTCTATAGAACATGTTTGAAAAACTCGCGATTAATTGAGAATCGCTTCTGACATCGTTGATGTATCTGATCGATTTTTCAAAAACCATCCAAACTACAACCCTTTGATATACTGTGTGGTTTTCAATGAAAGAGAACGAAATCTATTCTATACAATCTTATTTTGAATTTATAATCGATTATTAAGCGTATTAATGGTACTTTAAAGGCAATAGAATTAATTGCAATGTACAGGAAACGATAATATCCATTAAAATAGATGAAACTTTTATTGCCCGGCGCAACATTCATGAAACACTTCCAAGATATAGTTTTATTATTAAAGTACTTCTGCGTAGACCAGAACATTTCTAAAGGAGATTTTCGCGTTTTGTTTTTGCACTATCATCAGACGTTTTGTTATCTTGATAATTATTAGCAGCATTTAATATTTTAGTTTGGTTTCCCGACATTAAAATTCACCATTTTGTAGAAATAAAATCTATTAATCATATATTATTTATTTGTCATATTGCCATCCACGTACGGTTGTGTAAATTATGGGGTCCGATTTCGCCATTCTTCTTTACTACCTATTTTGAGGGCTCCATCGGCGGCCATTAACACTCGCCAGTATGCACCCATAAGGAAGGGAAGCCTTTGCCACTACCTTGAAGATAGATTTTGACAGGGTGATGATGATTGGCTATTCCAGCAAAAGTTATAGAGAAAGCTTAGAGGATATCGATAAGATGAATTGAAAGTAACAAATAATCGTTTACATACATGCTGATAACTACAAAATATAAATAATAAGTAAAACTTTAAAACACTTTACGGCGATGTTGGCAAATGTTTTTAATAACTTAATGTGTGCGGATGAATTCGAACTCGCGCACGAGGGATTCCGTACCGAAAAAGTGCAAAAAAAATAACGTTAGTTGTATAGGAGGCCTCCTAGAAGTTGAGTATTTTTTGTTATAGCGGTAATAGTAATCCGTCATCAGTGAAAATTTCAACTATCTCAATATCACAATTCTTGAGATACAGCCTGGTGACATACGGACGGACTGTAAAACGCATATCATTGAGTATTTGACGTGTAAATAAACAAAACGTAATTTTCTAAATCAAATTTAGATAACGAACACCAGTACTATTACACGGATGACTAACAATAGGAGACGGACCATCTATTATTTAGAATCGAATGAATAATCGTATAACTAAACAGCGGCGTCCAGTTAGATGGCCACTGAACGGAAGCGGCCAGTTGCGGCTTCCGGTTCATCATCCGCCATTTTGTGTGTTAACACAACACGCGTCCTTTAGGATGTTGAGGCTATCATAAGCATATTATGTTCTGACAATGGTACTGCGTGTTACTGTTTGAATTTGTGCTGTTTTTGGTAATTAAGTACATCGTCAAGTAATCCGTTGGTTTAATATTCGAATTGAAAACGGAAAACTATTCATTCTCTTTGGAAATAGTAATGAGAGGTCTTTCATTATTTTTTTCACGGCTTGTTAATTTTTTTGTATTTAACTTTTGTAGTATTGTAAATTGGCTTCTGCACACTTATTTATTTTATTTAGATAGATAGATAAATTATTCATTTATTTGCATCATGCACACACAAAATATTACAATTTAAAATTTCCAAAATTTTCCATAACTAAAATAAGACAATATGTGTACCGCAGCGATGCAAATGGGCGAAAGTCAGTAAATACTCGATGAGTAGGTATTTACTCAGAGAGCAAAGCACTGATTTTCAGTTTTTACCCAAATTACTAGTGGTCGCAATAATTAAATATTTCCTAATATTATTTTATTATTAAGTTATTAGACAGTAGCTGTTGCGTCTCACAAATTACAACTTATGTCACCAGCGATACACCCACCTAGCCTTCCCTAGGCTAAATATTTTTGAATCGGTTCTGTAGCTTCTGAGTCCATTAAATGCAAACAAGTCTTTTCTCTTTATAGTTTATGGTTTTAGCTATCTACTATTATAAGTCTATGGTGTCAATTTTCTTTTTATTTTCCTAACTTTTGTCAACCAATAAAACAAGTACTCGCTTCGCAAAGGCTCGACAATAGAATTAAGATAATCCAAATTTTCACACTTGCCGTCAATTTTTTTTGGAGAACGTTCCATTTTTGGTAGACCACTTCAATATAGACTTTATTACTGAAGTTTTAGTTTCAAAATTGTTAACACCCTCGATTGAGTATTACGGTATAATAGTCAGTAGTCTGGTTATAATCAATAAAGAGATCGCATTGATGGACACGGTCACGATGGGCGGTTTAGACGCGCGGACGCGATGTTACGCAGGTATGAGACATGGTGGTGAGAAATAGCGGATAGCGATTAGCGATATAGTTTTAGATGACCTCAGTGGCGCATTTTCAGCTGAAGTTAAGCAACCCCTGCAGAGGTCATTCGTCGGATGGGTGACCAGAAATAAATTGATCTCATAAGTTTTTTGCCTCAATCACCGGGACAACTTCGTTTGAGATCCGCATTCGTCCGCATCCGCAATAGTGTAAGGATATGGCATGTTTATCTTATGGCACAAGACAGACTGACAATTTATTTATCCACTAGGAAAATCTTTACCCCAACAAGTAATTATTTTA